TGCTACCAGGTTTTCCATGGTGGTCTATCTTCAATTGGCTCATGATTTCATCTATGAAATTATATTAATTATCATTTTTATTGACCTGATAGATTTTGATCTCTATACTCCAGTTTTCTTCCCTGGAGTACAGAGTATTTTTGACGAATAACATTTCACTTAAAGTGATGTTGTTCCATGCAATACAAAATGGCGACTAATGAGTTAACGGATTTTGAGAACTTTCAATGGTGTCTGACTACATTTCAAATTATTTACTTTACTCTCAAGTAAAATGACATTGATAAACTTACTAACGAATGTTACCCCTCAAGGAGGTGCATAGGCTGTTGTTCATAGTATCCGGACAACAGACATTGAGTATCTTACGCAGAAAACGGCTTAGAAATGCTTGTACATTCTGACGACGATTGAGGAGATTCGCAAACGTTTAAGCTCTGTTCAATGGAACTGTATTGACGTTCCTATTGAAAATTCTAACTTTGATATTGGTTGACAGTTGTTTTCAGTTTCATATGTTCTTCAACTGTAAGAATGCTTTCCTCGCTTTGCCAATCCAGGTATTTATATCTGCATCACATCCTCTTTGTTCATCGATGATGCTGACGAGATACGTTAACGTCTTCACATCTACCAGAGTTTCTCCATTAAGTTTGATTGGGTTGGTGTTCTCCGTGTTGTATTTGAGGATCTTATTTTTCCCCTTGTCTGTGTTGAGGTCTACTGATTCAGAGGCTGCTGCTGCAATGGTTGTCTCGATCTGCATTCGCTAGTGTGTATGGGATAATGAAGTTCTCTTATCCACACTGTCAAATGCTTTCTCACAGTCAAGGAAGTTGATGTGTAGTGTCAAAATCCATTCAATTAATTGTCCAACGATGATCCATTGTGTCTCAATTCGGTCTGTGAACGATCAATCCCTACAGAATCCGGTCTGTTGATATTTAAGTTGTGTGTCTACTGAATTTTTCGTTCGGTTCAACAGCACAGTTGAAGACTTTTCCTGGTACAAATAGTAGTGTGATGTCTCCATAGTTCTCTTACTTGCTCAGATCTTTCTTAGCATTTTTATGAGGTATCATTTTTTCGAGTTTGTCGGCACTTGTCTTTCCTCCTAAATCCTTCTAAATATAACGTGGAGCATGTTTGCAGTTACTTCTATGTTTAACTTCAGTGGTTGGGTAGTATGTCATCTGGTTGTGATGCCTTCCCACTCTTGACTTGTTTGGTGGCCATTCCGGTCTATTCGATTGTTAGAGGGATGAAATCTATGGAAATTTCTATGTGTGCTGCTTCGATGTCCAATGGGTTATATCGAACTGGCCTATTCATTAGCTCTTCAAAGTGCTCTACCCACCTATTCCGCCGTTCATGGATCTCTGTGATTGTCTTGCCTTCTTTGTCTTTGATCGGTCTTTCTGGTTTACTATATTTTCCTTCCAGTTTCCTCGTTGTGTCATATGGTTGTTTCATATTTCCTTCTCTTGCAGCTCTTCCCGATGTCGCTGCTCAGTCTTCCACGTATCTCTACTTGTCGGCTCTAACATTCCTCTCCACTTACTTCTTTTCTTCTGTGTATTCAGCTTGTGACTTGACTTTCTCTGTTCATGTTCGGTTGTTGTTAAAAGCTGTCTTCTTGTTCCTCCTTTCTTCAATCTCATTCAGGGTATCCTAAGAGATCCATTCCAACTACACAGAAAAAAGAGTAGCTGAAGCGTTCCATAAAATGCTTAATCCTACTGCTCTCAACAGAAAGGAAGACCTTACCATACATCCTACTATCTATCCTAGTCACCTAGTCTGATATTATTTACAATTCACATTATTACCTTACAAATTAAACTCTAGCCTTTGTCATTATAAAAGTTATACATTTTTCATCCTTACCAGTGCACACATATATACATACAAATTTATAAACATGTCTCTTATGAATCATGTTGACCAAAATGACATGAAATTGCATTATTCAGACCTGTTTTTTCATTGATCGCATCTGATATTCGTGTTGTTCCGTTGTACTATTTGAATTTGGATTAGTTTTAATTTACTCTGAAGAAGTGGCTTACATTAAGTCACGAAACGTCAGGTAATTTAATTTTTTTACTCATTTGTATATCCACAAATATACTATTTTTATTTACAGCAATCTACCCAATACCTAATTTATTCGAAATTATCAAGTTAAGCTATGGTAATGGTACCTACAACTGTTTTAACTGTTTAAGTTAATGAAGATGTAAAAATAAAAATATTAATTTTTAATAGTCGAGACCATGAATCGATTGAAGCTAGATCACCATTGAAAACCTGGAAGCACTGGACGGCCGTTTCGTCCTACTATAGGACTCCTCAGTAGTGTGCATCCATGATCCCGCCTCACGAGGTCCGAAACACAGATTTATCAGTTTCGCGCGCGAACGCTTAACCACTAGACCACTGAGCCGGCGTTCAACGGTGTTAATGTCTACTTTCAACTGATCCACGAAACTGAGCTACATATCCATCAATGTTTTAATTATTAAAAATTACTATAACATCCACAAAACCCCTTCTGATAAAAATATTACGTATACCATTTACATTATAATGATTCCAATCATATTGCTTTTAATCCATAATGTTTTCACTAAACATCAGTAGGATTTTATCAGTTTTCAACTTCTATCTTGTTAAAGTTTTACTTTAGACATATACTTTAGACAAAATTTAACTAAATGGATTTTAACGTTCAATTCATTAATGTTAGCAGACGTACTACAATATTCAGGACCAAGAGGTAATGCTTGTAGCTGAATAGTTGATAATGTTATGTTTGAGTAATTGAAAACATATCCTTTGGTCCTAAATTTTGTAGTACATCTGCTAACATTAATGATTGGAACGCTCAAATCCAGTTTGAAAGCTTCATTCATCAGACAAATAGCCTTATTCCAGTATTTAACTAACTATTAATATAGTTCATATCTTGTAACATTGATTTTATTTGTCGTTGTAAACCAAGTATACATAAATAGAATAAGGAAAATTCTTATTCTTACATTATAATAAACAAAGTAATTATTTGAAAAAATTAAACAGTTACTGTTATGTTCTGATGACCCTTTGAATATATCATGTGACTTATAGCCAATTAAAACACCAGTACAAGCAGCCTAGAGTCAACTCTGAGTCCTTATTGATCCAGTAAGATAGTAGCTTCTCGGTTAACTCAGCCGGTTTAGTCTAATACACCAAAATCAGCCTCCTCTATATAAATCCTGTATTTCAGGCATACAAACAAATCAGACCACGTTATACCATAAAGTAGAAAATAAAAGTTATACTAGATCAAGGCAAAAAAGTGTCTGTGAGTGTGAGATGCTATAAGTAATATGTTGGGAATAATTTAAGAATAGTAAATCGTATAATAATAGTCAGTAGGTCCTATTATGGGACGAAACGGCCGTCCAGTGCTACCAGGTTTTCCATGGTGGTCTGGCTTCAATTGACTCATGATTTCAACTATGAAAATATTTCATATTAATCAAAGACGACTTATTAAGAGAGAAATATAAGGTTTTCATCACTAGTGCACCTTATCAGTGTTATGTCTTTCGGTGATAAAACCGTCAATCAGAATTCCGATTAGTACAACTTCATATCTCTGAGTTGACCAATTATACATCCAACTGGCATTAGTAACCTTGAGTCAACTCCTAAGTCCATATTTGTTGACAATCTGGCAGCTCCTCTATTTCTGGACAATCTCAGCTATCTTATATTTTAAACAGATGTAGTTCGTATTCAGGCTTACCAGACCACATCAAACAAAACAAAAAAAAGAAAAATAATCATTATATATGAACGAACCAAAGGTTGCCGTGAATGGGGGAGACAGCATATAATCAATCGGTAACAAATTAAGAATAGTAAATGATATAACAGTAGTTAATATGCCAATTGAAAGCCTATGATAAGATGAATCTATACATAATAATCTAATTACTTAATAATTATACAATAAAAATTCGAATAATGATAGTGCCTAAATTATTCCTGGAATTTTACATTCTTTTAGTCTTCGTTCGGGTATAACAATAAGAGAATCATAGCTAAATTTTACTTGTCTAACATCATCACGATATTGGATAGTCAGATAATAGTGGTAAGAAGTCGTTTACCTTGAGTAGGAGTAATCTGTTTTAAGATTAGAATGGTAACAACACAGCTGACCATAATGTGTTTATTATTAGCCGAAATCATAGAGCACACCAGCTGTTTTCTTAAACATACACTTATGACAAAATGATAGCTCATTGTGGACATGAAAACTAGTTCCAGAGTTTCATATCGATTATTAATAATTAACAAAACTAAATTTTATTGACTTTTGAGTTATTCACTTAAATGGTTACATCCGGTACTTATTGTTCACCAGTTAAGTTTGGAATAATAATAATAATAACGATAATTATAAGTAATCAGTTGTTATCCAATGACTGACGAATGGACTAGAGTTTCTCTCTTATTTGAAATGCTCACCATTTCATAGACTAAAAGTTCTAACTGGTGTGAGTAAATGTTTTTGCTCGTTAAGGTTATGAAATCCTGGATACACTGTTTATCAAATTATTATATATGATGAGAGGATAATGGTTTTGTTATTACTGTCACAGTTTTCAGATTTTAAACTTTGCTTACTGTGATTACAATCAGCAGGAGTTATTGTAATAATGCTGATGATATTATTTGTGAGGTAGTTATAGATGTTTTGCATTTTTAAAGTACACTATTACATAATACTTTGAAATATTCAAGATACTTTGGATTGTAGAACGAATTTCACTCCATTGTAACATTACTTACTTACTTACTTACTTACGCCTGTTACTCCCAATGGAGCATAGGCCGCCGACCAGATTTCTTCAACCCACTCTGTCCTGGGCCCATTGTAACATTAATTAAGTCTAAATTAATGCTTTAAAATCATTTAAAAATTATCATGTTTTACATTTTAGAATAGAGTCAGAACCACCCACTATCCATGAAAAAGCACATCATGGAGTGGACCCCAATGATCATGTTGCAGTTGAAGGGTCCGGTGAAGAATTCAAGCAAAAAATGGATGATTTTATTAAAGAATTAGCAGTAAAAATGCATGGTGAGTTAAAACAGAAAGAAATTTAACATTGTTTTTTTTCAATTTAATTGATCGAATGTAAAAATTTCTAAACTACATGTTTTCAAAAAAAAAATCTTAAACATAATCCATCTGTCCATTTAATAATCAATGATGTATATACTTGGATTCTAATTCTATTGAGAAATCAAAATAATCATAATTTCGACTAAACATAGGAAGTAATTTATTGATGGATTCCAATATAAATCATCATTTCAACAAGGGATGTTTTCAACATTACCATTAAAAGAAGATATAATTCTTGTAAACATAATGCTAATTGTATTGAATTCAAAGAGTAGATAATTACAATTTACTACTATCGAATGACTTTCACAAACATTGAGATACCTGAAAGTTAGTCATGAAGTTTTATTAACTGAGAAATTGTACACATAAATCTTTACTGATCGTCAACATGATAAAAATTGACTAAAGTCTTCCTGATTTCTTCTATGAATTCTTGATGCTTTTCGTTCAGAAAATTTCAGGAGATACTTGTGACTGTCAACACGAGTAAACAGACTGGTGATACAGTTTGATAAAGAAAGAAAACTGAGAATTTCTTTATCGAAACATATTTATTACCATTAGTGTTGAATTCTGGGTTTTTACTTAAAGATAAATGTTAGCAATATGAAGCATGTGTTATAACCCTCTTGGTAGATGGTGGTTGAATTACTTAACTATTAGCTTATCTACTATACTCAGCATCCTAGGTTTAACTTGAACGTTATGCTCCTACTGGTTCAACTACAGTTTGGCTGTTCGAAGGTATCCATGGTTGAATGACTGTGGAACCAGAAAGACTATCATTAATACATATTGAAGTATGTACCTACATAACAAAGTGTGTAGCGGGAACGTAGTTGGCTAGTATGTTGAGCAATGCGATTTTGAATCTTGGATGGGATATACCCTTACTGATGAATAATATCCAGTAGAATATTTACGTTTGAATCATTTATTTTTGATGCTAGATGGTTGTAGGCGGCTAGCTGCCAACTCCGGACATAAGTTGCATGTTAGTTGGCACTCGCCAGCTAGGCATACCTTTATTCTTAACGAAATTAATTCTCCATGTGCGATTCAGATACTCATCATCCAGCCTCATATCCTTAGATATTGCTACTAAGCTATTCTTGCCGGAACTGACTACAAGACTGAAATATTTACATTGGCTGGATTGGATTCGATCAGCATGAAGTTGGTGATCAAACAATTTACTTTCACACTTGTTATCTGTTTTTGACACTCTTCATTAATTACATCCAGTTCCTTTTTTTTTTTCTAGTTCCAACAGGAGCAGTGATTGCTATGGTTATCGGTGTGATCCTATTTGTTTTATTAATATTGTTTTGTATTTGTAAACGATGCGTATTCAAACGTCGAAAAAAGGATCGTGGAGCGAAAAAAAGCAAAGCAGATATTAAAAGTGTACAACTTTTAGGCAAAGGTTTAGCTAAAGATAAGGTGAGATTTATTGGTGTTTATCAATGCTGTTTTATAAAATGTTTCAGTGAGCTTTTAAGTCACTTTCAATAAAGTGTTCATTACCCATCGGCTGTGTTTTCTTTTCTTAAAATCAAATTAAGTGGAATGAATGATCAAGCCAACTGATCTAATTGTAGTGAGTGTAAGAATATGAACATTCAGTAGTTATCTTTTCTTATTCTGGGAGCTGATTGAATGGTATACTCTCATGACGATACTATGAATCGAGTCTTGGTGGCCAACCCCATACCTTTAGACAATTGAGTTGGAACCAAGTTATCTACATGTCAACCTTCATTTAACATACGATATATCATGACCATCATACAGTTTTATCTTTGATACTTTTCTCATTTACTATATGGCTGAACTGTTGTTTGATTTGCGAATATGTATGAATCTGTTGTTTACTGACCAACAATTATTTTGTGAATGGATTAGTCATAAGGAGAAATTTGAGTTGTAACCTAAGTAGTCACCTATGAATAAGTAGTTCAAAGCCTACATTTTTCCCGTTAAGAAGTTTGATCGCTATCTCCATATATTTGGACGACTTTATCCTATTCTGTCCAGCTTGTATGAAATAGATCCACTTTTGATTATAAAATGAGTAAAACTAGATAAAACCTGGCAAATACTTTTTATTTGTTTAAACGTTTTTCTTGTTCAAATCACGAACTGATCTTAGCTAGACCATCATTGGAAACTAATGGTCGCTTGATATCTGTTTAATCCTGGTATGGGACTCCTCAGTAGTGTGCATCCACAAGCTCATCACAGGGAGTCGAACGTTGAGAAAAATCGAAACTTTTCTAGAGGACATTCCTAGAAGAATCTCTAGATATTGAGCATGTCTTTCTTTATGTAATCAAATAATAAACTACAGTAGGTCAAAAAGGAATTCAAATCCATAGCACCAAAAATAGATGTATCATTTAAGGTTGATGTATTTTGGAGTGTATCTAGAGTTTCCGGGTTTTTTTCCTCTCATTTAGTGAATGTATGTTGCACATTAGAGTGTAATTCTCACTGCAGCTTTTACCCCCAACTGGCTAAAGGTATCATCAAATTTCATATATATATAGTTCCCTTTATCATCTTGAAGAGAACAAGAACAAAGATCCTAGAAGTATGAAATGAATTCATTTTAGTTCGTTTGGTTCTCGTCAGCCACCTACAACCTGTGATATTTATAATTATAATTACAAAATGGGTTTAAACTACTTACGTGTAAGAGTTTCATCGGAAGTTATTTTGAAGACACATCAGTATAGTATAGCAAAGGTGTAAACGAATTTAATAAACATAATAAGATATTGTAAATATATACCTTATGAAAAAAGGAACATTCTAGAACATTGATTGTAGCAAGAGTTCAAAGGGCCAGAAACAAGTGATTGCATAATGAGTAAACCCTGATAAGAATAAAATGAGTAAAGCTCAGAGATGGTGGAGAAGATTTGTAGCTCAGGTGGGTGATTTTTATGTTGGTTTGTTCTCTGAGCTGGATGGTTTGGTCGTGGAGCTTTCATCGTCCTTCTGAATGACATCATCAGCACAAACTTCGGGTAGAAATAAAAAGAGTTAATGATGTAACTAATTGGAAAAAAGAGTTGAAATGAACTTTTAAAGATGTAACAAAGAAATATTTGTCAATAAGGTAATGAAAGATTAATAACCATTTCGTTTTGAACAAATAAGTCAGATTTGGCTGTAATTTCGTAATCACTTATTATCTATTCTGTTAGATTGATCAAATCTCTGTTGATGATCATTTGTCTGACTACTTTTTCAAGTTGTCTCTCTACTAATGACTGTGAGTTCTAAATGGAATTTATATTGTATTGCAGATTAATAAGATTGTGATTAGCAGTCGTAGCATACACCGATTTGAAGGAATTGATGGAAGTCTAAATTTTCATAGAAAAATGTTTTTATTGAACTTGTTGGAATCAACTCAATTAATACACATACAAGTACAATCTATTTACAACAGATTGAGATTTAGAACAGAATGATTTCATATGTTAAGTAAACTGTTATTGTAAATAACTAATTCAACTCAGAGTAAGCACACCGTAACACCAGTCCTCTTAGCTTTATTTACCTATGAAATTAGTACTGGAAGTATTCAGATGTGTTCCAGATATCCCAAAAGTTTTAGTGTTTTCTAGTTTACTCATAAAAATTTTTGTTATTTATAAGTAGTATTTTGAATGATTGATTATCTAATTTATTTCGGTCTATAAGGCTATTTAAGCATTGTTACCTCTTAGTAGGTATTAATGTCATATTGAGATGAATATCCACAATGTATTATATTTGGAAGATAATCATTTCGCTTACACACAATTCACTTTCCTTTAGGGAGATCTAGATGAATTAGAAGCAAATATGGAAGACAATGAAGGTGTACAAGACAAGGAAGAAGTCAATTTGGGCAAACTACAATATTCTATCGATTATGATTTTACTCAAGGAGAGGTAATTTATTCATGTGCATTATTTTTACTAATGAACATAAGGCTTTATATCTTATCTATGCTAAAATATTAGAATTAATGAGAAGGAAATGGGACATTTTTATTCAGAAATTGCATTACACATAAGAGGGAAAGAGAGAGATATGAAAAAGTCAAACAGCTCTATTATATGTTTTAGTGTCCTATGAAAGTTCTATGCGCAGATTGTGTAGTGGATTCAATGGGATTAAAATTGTTTAGCATGAAAGGATTTTTGATTGGCTAGCCTTGACACACTATGAAGTTATAAATGGTGGTGTTCATTAAACTTCGTTTTTCATTATTCTTATTTGATTGTTGTCTGACTCTCTTACAAGATCTTTAAAGTTTTTAATCATATGATTATTGAACTTGAACTTGAGCAACAAGCTCTGTAATCAAGACATTATCATCATAATGATTTAAAGTATATATGTGTAGAAAATAATAATATCACTACTTTAAACAACTAATCACATTTCAGATTATGAAGCAACCCTACCAAGGAACTTTTCGACAGATTTTCATTACTTACTACTTGATTTTAAATTCTGTACTGACTATGTTATCGAGATTGACAGTTAGAGGCTCATCAGAAAATTATCCATCTATCCGGCTTGAAAACCGTAATATTACCAAACTTTTATCATTACTTATTCAATCATAAATAGAGGTGCATCCACTATTCATGTTCTACCAAATTCTAATCTTCTGAATTCTCCATGTCTCTATCTTTTTTCTCTTTCCAAATTTATTTCACTAGATTATACTCCTTCAATAACATCTTCAAATCCTAATATTTCACATTAATGCTTATACTCTTACTACTTCTACCACTATGGGATTTAAATCAACAACTGAATCTCTGTGTTAATGTGGTATGGCAACTCGAACTGATGTACGTACGTACGAAGTTGTACGTTGTGACTGACTGACTGACAATCATAAATAGTGTTCATCCGTTTTCCCAAAGATATTGAAAAGACCAAGATTTATATTAAGTTGAAGCGGAAAATACAAACTCATAGGGCAGTCCATCATTAAAATACTGTAATATCTTTCACTTCAGAATGCCAACTACCTGTATCTTCATATCTTTCATCAGCATCTGATGATACTTTTTAAAATAATCACATGAATATCATTGTCGACATTTTTCGTAAGCGTTGAAGACTTTATGGATTCTGCATTTCTTTTCTTTAATAATGATTAAGAGCATGATTTTTTTTCATCTTATCCTTCATTAGTTATTTGTTAATTTTTCTTGTATCACTTAGTTAACAGTTGGTGTAATACAAGCTACCGACTTGCCTGGAATGGATTTATCTGGAACATCTGATCCATATGTGAAAGTATTTCTATTGCCTGAGAAGAAGAAGAAATATGAAACTAAAGTACATCGAAAAACATTAAATCCAGTATTCAATGAAACATTTGTGTTTAAAGTAAGGCTTTTTTCCTTGTGCTTTGATCATACTGAGCTTTAATTTAATGTTTTGTGAGTGTTTTTTTTTAAGATGTACAGTGATAACAGTCATGATGTATGAAAATGAGACTTAGTATTCTGAGGAATCTACAAAACTGAATGCTAGACGTCCCACCTACATTAATGAATAAATTTTTCAAGGTCGCTCAGTCAGTCAGTCACAACGTACAACTTCGTACGTACGTACATCAGTTCGAGTTGCCATACCACATTAGCACAGAGATTCAGTTGTCGACTCCAATCCTATAGTGGTAGAAGTAGTAACAAAATAAGCATTCATGCGAAAGATTAGGATTCGAAGATGTTATTGAAGGAGTATAATCCAATGAAATAAATTTGGAAAGAGAAAAGGATAGGGACATGAGGAATTCAGAAGATTAGAATTTGGTAGAACACAAAGAGTGGATGCACCTTCGCCATTGCAAACGATTTTGAACCATGTCATTCAAGGTCTCTAACCATCGATTGCTATCATCTCGCGAATCCCAACCAGGTAGTCTACACCTACCAACATGGCTCAGTCCACTTGTCAGCAACTTCATGGATCTATGCCACGTTTTGGTCTGGGATAACATTCTACATACTGGTTTATTTCATACACATAGTTCCCTTTATTATCTTAGAGAATGAATGAAGATTGATACAGAATAATATGAATTCATTATATTTCGTTAGGTTCTCACCAACCATGTATACATTAAAGGATTCATTTAGATTTGCTGACAGCATGAATCACATAAGTATTGCTGGTCATTTTATGATCTACAAAGATACCACTTCTTTAAACCATAGACATAATTTACCAGCATTATGACATCCTACCTCTACCAGTATCAGAATTCAAAAGATTGTTAATCATATGTACAAAAGATGTTCAGTTCCAGTTCAACAATATTATATACCAACAAACCGACGGTCTAACAATGGGAAGTTCGTTAGATCCTGTCCTAGCAGATATTTTCACTGCTAATCTCGAAAAAACCAGGCTCAAAGGAGCGACTGATAAAATGATGTGTTATTCAAAATATACTGATGATTTCTTCATAATATGTAAGAATCAACAACATGCAACAAATCTCCTAAAACTTTTCAAGGAAGCCCATCCAAATATCCAGTTTACTATAGAACATGAAAATTAAAACAAGTTCCATTTTTCTGATATCGTAATAAAACGAAGGAAGGATGATACAGTTCAACATCCAGTTTATAAGAAAGACACATGGGATGGGATTTATCTCAATTCCAATAACTTTTGTCCACTTTTTGAAACGCTGTTTCACGGAACAAAAAGAATATGTACTGTCGATATACTGGAAGAAGAACTAATGAACGAATACCCACTGAAATTTATTGAGAAATATGGAAAACATGAGGACGAAAAACCCAAAGAAATGACAGTAAATAAAAAAAAAATTTTTATTCAACTTAAATCCAAAGGTAATGTTATCACAGGGTCAATCGGTAGGGAACTAAAAACTAAAATGACAAGAACTTATCATGCAGCTAAACTGATTGTCCTGTCCAAAATAACATGTTCTTTAACACAAGCAAAGATCACCATTAACTGTGTATAGAAATTTACATGTACCTGCCAAAGCAGTTACGTTTGTAGACTAGAAGGGAGAGCCTACGTCCAATTCGAAGAACATATTTTGAAAAGTTTAGGGTCAAATGGATTAAAAGCATTTAGCAGTGCCATCACAAGACATCTCCTTGACACAGGACATGAAATCGAATCACTAAAACCCTTCAAGGTGACTAACAAACAATCAAACTCCAACCTTTTGAAATTTACCGAAGTGATAGCGATCAAACGTCTTAAACTAAATCTATGTATTCAGAAGGAGGTAGTAATAAATCTTTCTTTTCCCTGGTAACATTACACCCCCTTTTTAATTATTACGTCATTCATTATTATTTCAACTATTTCTAAAGTTTAATTACATCATTGTTATTTCTCTTCAATTCATAGCTCACTGATTTCAGTTCAGATCTTTCTTTATTACTATCAATCTGTTTTCAGTTCCTTCATTACAATATCATCTAATGTATGTTAACTCTATGAATTCTAATCACTGTTTCAATGTTCTGGAACTTTCCCTCCCAAACTTTATTTATCCGAAACAAACAATTTTTATGATCTTATTAAATCTATTGAAATCTTCGCTACATTATGATACATATATTCAAATTTAATCACCTTGGTATGTATAAGTATGTAAATGTCTTACAATTGATTGATCACTGGGCGGCGATCAATGTCATATGTGTCAAGTCCGTCTTAGTGCTGATCGAATGCTATCGATCAAGTTGCAATGTGGCCACTAGTCCAGGTGGCTCGACATTGCGTGCACAGTGGTAACGTCTCTGACTGTGAAGCTGAGTGACACGGGATGGAATCCGTCAGGAGGCACCAGTTCCCTCAAGATTACAGGTACACCTTGCTGACAAATGCCAAGTAGCATGAAACCCGAGTCCAGGGTTTCCTGTTGACCACCTCCAACTACCATCTTATGTCAATGTCTGTAATAACGCTGATTTTAAATGTTAAATAGGCTGTCAGCAACCGATGAGTACCTAACAAAATAAAATGAATCCATATTAATGTGCATCAGTCTTCATTTTTGCTCTACTGGTTTATTGTTTTGCTCTCTCTCGAGGGTTAATATTTGTTAATCATTCATCCAAGGAGATTTAGCTGACAAATGTAAAGAACTGCATCTGACTAGCTTCTTTGGTAATAATTTATGTCTGTTACACTTTCTGGTTAAAGAAAATGGATATTTTTTATGATATAAAGCTACTGTATACTGTTAGTTTGTCTATCAGATTGGTTTATTTTAGTTTCCATTAAAGTAGACTACATATTTTGGTCTTCGTTTTCAACACATTGACTACATATTATGAAATAATTCAACTAAGAGTAATGGTTTAAAGGTAGTAGACAAATGGTAACTTAATCAATATAGTCTATCATCTGAAAATTTATACAGTTAGACAAACTGCCTACACATAAAAATTAGTCATTCATAAATGACAGAAGTATTGGTCTGTGATAAATTATATTTTAGATACAATTTATCATTATTATTAATGGATTTATTCATTATTATACTTTTGGTACAATATAGAATTCTCAGCACAAAGTATTTCAACAAGATTCCTTCGCTTATTTCTTGATCGATCCTGACGTTAAATATTGATTGATCGCCAGTTAGATGTTAAGAGTTCAAGAATCGATATCTGAATAATATTCATTCTTTTCAATGGATATTGTCAACTACCACGGTGTCTCTGACTGTACTTTTTTGTAAAAAGTATAGCGAAAGGTCGTAAATGTTTCATAAATACAACTGAATAGATTATGCGAATAATAGACATAATTACGTGTTGAAACAAATAAAAGCACCGATAATAAGCAAAGATGGATAGTGGCTCAAAAGTGGAATCCAGCTTGACGCGCGTTTCGTCCTATTCGGGACTCGTCAGTTGGATGTACCTGCATCTCAGAGTTGATATTCACTCTGGGACAAGAACCCAGTACCTTTCGCTTCAAACGTCATCGTGTTATCTACTTGCCCACTGAGTCCTGAAAGCCACTTGCTTGTGCAATGGGATGAAGTTATATTCAATTATTGTTGTTTACTTATATCTTCCCATTGTTATTTTGGACTGCAATTTATCAACTCTGAGATTCAGGTACATCCAGCTGGCAAGTTCCAAATAGGACGAAACGCGCGTCCTGGATTCCACTTCTAGCCACTATTCATCATTGCTTATAAAGCTTGTGACTTCGGGTAATATAGAGGCATTCCGCATAGGATGCACATATGTCAACAAGAGACTGATTAATTGCAGTCCAAAATAACAATTGGAAGATACAAGTAAACAACAACAAGTGAAAAAGAACAGATAACTTGTTGAAATATTTAGATGTCAGGAACAAGTAGCCTAGATATTCAGGCGGGCCACCACAGTTAAAGATTGTTGTCTATGATCATATTGCATAATCATATGAATAAAATATTTTTCAGTCAGAATAATTTTTCATTTTCTGTTTTCAATGATAATAAGATATTTATTTATTTATTTGGAAGAAGCATTACACCTTTCTTGTTAGGTATTTCAAATGTTTCTTCAGTTAGGAAAAGCTATTACAATCATGATATTGTTTAATTAACTGAACTTTTATTAGATATTAAGGTCATTTTGTACTGCAATAGAAATGTGCAATTATTTCTTACTTACTTATTTACTTACGCCTGTTACCCCTTGTTGAGGAGCATAGGCCGCTTACCAGCATTCTCCATGCAACTCTGTCCTGAGCCTTCTTTTCCAGTTCTTTCCAGTTGTTATACATCCTTTTCATATCTGCTTCTATTGCTCGGCGTAATGTGTTCTTTGGCCTTCCTCTTTTCCCCTTCCCTTCCGGATTCCAAGTTTCTTAGTACACTCTTATGATGAAATTTACGAAATTATGAAATTTAAACTTTCACTAGGTTACTTAGTTGTTTAAATTAAGTAGTTAGATATATGACTACATGGATACTCTATCTAGATTTGATAATTTTGAATAAATATTGTAATGTGTTACTTATTAGGAACTATAATATTTATTAAGCTTCTAAAAATGTAAAATAATTTTGGTAAAAGTGTAGTGAACTAGAACACAAGTTGGGACAATCAAATGTATTTGAATACAAAATTACTGAACATCTTAGTAAAATCTGAGAACTATACAGTAAATAATTCATTTGCAAAATATCCATCAATTGTCCTAGACTTCATTCTTCTATCGTTTCCACACTAATCATTCTCTCTCCCTAACCTTCTGACTCCAGGTATTTAATTTTCAATTGATGATACATACTACTTATACCTATAGAAATCAGTAGCCCACACCACAAAAGTATTGTTAACTGATGTCCTCCAGTTAATCATTCAGAATTAAAATAATACCTCATGTATTATGCGCGGAATTTAAAGTTCATTGTTGGATAACGTGTATGTTAACATCAGCAAAGTCATGGTTCTTAAAACGGTTGTAATCAATAAAATTATCTGTCAGATAACCAAAAACTGAATTTTAGACGGGGCTTACGCCAAATTACTAATCATACCTTCTCCTAAGGAAAATTGGGTGAGACTAAAGAACATGGACGAGCCAATCAGAAGCTTTCGCGGGTTTTCAAGGTCACGGCGCTAATTTCGGTACCTGACGCTTACGTACGGTCGGTTTACAACGGATTTTAGAGAAAACGTTATAATTAAGCGTCTACAAGATAAGTTATCATAAGATTTTGGCGCAAAATTCAATTATACATTGGGATAGAGTTGTGGCATTATAGCTGATGTCAGTTCGTGATGAAAACCCCAAGTATAATTCCTAACCTTAACCATGAACTGTAAATCGTAATTTGAATTCTTCACACGGGTTTATAACCCTCATTTAATCTTAGTTATTACGTTGACACTCTCAGATTCACTTTAGCGTCGCTCAAATGTCGTCCATAATTTATAGTCTCATCTTTAACCCTAAACCGTAAACCTAAACCTTAATACTAAACCATACCAACATACCGACAGCACTGAAAATATGTGGTCGAGGCTGAATGAATTTTCGGGACTTTATCATGGCTTCAGACGTCGACTACTATAGAGACACAGGGATGAGTTCCTGTGCCGGACGCACTATGATTTTAGAACTTCTGAACCTATATCTGACCTTGATAAGTTTTTGAGTCATGTAAAAGAACAGCATCCCCTTTAATTTTTGAGTTTTGTATAATATATTTTTATTGTATACTAACTGTCTTCTGTTTGGCTAATATTTCTCAAGGTCATTCAAGATTCGTTCGAAGGTCGACCATGTTCTTTAGTCTCGCCGAAAATTGTTTATTTAAGTATCTGATGTGGTCTGTTGTATAATCAAGAATATTAAGTGAAGCTAGATATTATTTTCCCTTTCTTACTCCAACTCTAAATCTCAACTATAAGTTTATCAAGTTTGCAAACAGAAGGATGACAAAGCATTGCATCACAGCTGATGTAAATAAGTGCTCAAAACCCTGAACCTAATTTGTAAACCTAATTCAAAACTTCAGTTTAACTCTAAATACCTAACTTTGACCTCTTTGTTTTATAAGCGATGCCAGTTGGTGACGAAAATTCTATAGAGTGACAACCCTAACTCACAACACTAGCTCGACTTCTAATTTCTGTGTACGCATGTAAACTTGACATTTTTTCTTTACTACAAGGATTAATTTGACATGTAAAGATTAATTATTCAAATCAAAACTGTTATTTCATTTTTTGTGTTATTAATCGATATATAACTAAACAATGTTTCCCGATTAGCCGATAATTTACCCAAGGTCGTCAGCATATTATAATTTTACCAAAATGTTTTGTATCCGAAAACCACGAATCATATTGAATAATTAACTGCAGTATAATAGGAACAGGTGAATGAAGAACACAGTGATTCTCCTAAATTTTAAAGCTTATATTTCTGTTTAGTTCAAGGATCTTTCTGAAACATCAAATAATTATTTAGAGACTGCTATGGTTGTCTCAGAGAAGTTACTGCCGGCTTCAAGCCCGAGTAAAAGAGGATGGTTGGGCATGGGGTCAACAACCACATCCCGTAGAAAACAACTTTGTTAAAAAGAATGCTAACCAGAATAAACAGAGAACTTAATCAACTTTGTAAATTACACACATATTTTTTTAGGATTCCCATAGAAGTATCATACAAAAGCAAAACAGCTGTTCAGTGTTTCTCAGTATACCGTGGTTCCCTAACTAAAGTCAGTCCAGTTTGTGATATTAAATAAAATCTATTATTGAAGAAAGGTTAGCAGTTAATTAGAAATTGAATATGTTTTCACTAACTACCAGTTAGTCTTATTTACTGTGTGTACCTATTCGGAATTAAAAGCTTATCTGATGCTTTATGTAGATTCCCTTCACCTTGAATCTTATTTATTCTCCTTTGTTTTAATGAGCCACTAACATGGTCCACGTCTTTTGTCTTTCCTTTTCTTAATTTTTCTAGAGTTATATCAAAATCTATTCATTTTAACATTTCTGTGCTGACAGTGAAGATCACTAGCTTCAAACGGGTTGATTAAATTAGTTTTGTTTCGGAGTTAAGCAGTTGTTTTGGTTTTCCGGAATCACCTGAGGTTTTTAGTTTAACTTTAGATTTTTTTATCCGGAAGCATAACAAGTGGAGAGTTGCTGTTTTAATGACCTATTAAGTGTATTTGCTTTACCTTTTAACTTTGTTTAGAATGACTCTCAAACGGTTACAGCTTAATTTCGCTCCGCTCGCTTATCACTTCCACCTGATCGCAATGTTGCCGAAAACTTATTAGAATTTTAGTTAATTATTATCTATATGATGGGATACTACTCTATCCAGGCTTATCATTTGCATTTTTAATGTGTTTAATAAATACTTTTGAAAATCCAGTCAGTGGCAGTTAGTACATTTTTTCTGTGGTATAATCCTTAAATACTCCTTGAAACCAAATAACGTTTAATCTCTTTCATAACATTTTTGCTTTTCCACCCATTCTGTTAAGGTTCCATATGCTGAGGTTGGGGGCAAAACTCTAGTGTTCAATGTTTATGATTTCGACAGATTTTCGAAACATGATCAAATAGGTCAAATTCAAGTACCACTTGGATCTGTTGATTTGGCACGCGTAATTGAGGAATGGCGTGATTTAAGTCCTCCTGATGATGATGAAAAAGTGAGTTTGTGTGCAATTTATTTAGTTTTGACACCATTGAGTTGCAGTTTTGTGAGTAAAGCAATTTCTCTTATTACCTCAGTTATCTAATATAAACCTGTTGCTCCTGATCCGTTTACTCTCGGTCATTCATATCACATCAAATCTTAGGAAAGCTTTCAGCTCTTTGATCGAACTTGGTTATTCCAACTATTTCGATGGGACAGACATAATTAGGCTGAAATGTTGATTGATGAATTCTATTTATGTTCAAAAATAAAAAATAGGATTTTTCCAACAATACTTTAACGTCCAAACATTAAAATGGTAGTGTTAAGAGATAGTTAATCATGTCTGTCATTTGAAAGATTTCTGAGTGCTTCAGTTGTTGCATAAGCCATTAGAAATATTTTATTTAGAATATACCACTTAGTGGAATATTGACTTTAAACAGTGGTTAGTAGGCTTTTAACCGTATTGTGAAGTAACTGCTTATTCCTGGAGCTTATGTGCATCATTGGTTTGGAATCAGGGTTTTCCAACTCACCCAGGTGGACTCTCCGTGTCCACCAACCCGGTTAAAGCGCCAGACACTCGCTTTTCGTTCTCTCAATTTTGTAAACAACACCCCGGACGTGAGAAGGTAGTGATTAGGACTTCTCTGATAGTGGTTGTATACGCGTGGCCATGTGAGAGCATTTCGAGAGGGAGAAATGACTCTCCCCACTCTCGACCCTACCACGGTATTTGGAAGCTTTTATCACGCATTAGGTAAGTTTTGTTTTACAGATATGGACAGTACGACTTTTTTTAAGTCGATCATATTTTCTAAAATGTTAGTGATATCCCTTATATTAGTTTCACTTCATTTTCGATCATGAGTGAATGTTTTTGAGTTAGAGCTCTTTCTTCAGCATCATCAAGTGGGTTGGTATTCACCGGCTATAAAAGGAAAAGAAGGATATTTGGAAAAGTAAACTAATGCTTATTACCATGCATAACATCTACTTCTTGTCCAGACATACAGTTATATTTCATATACAAGTTTTAATCATCACATCATAGTCTTCAGAGTTTATTATATGGGATAAATAATTTTAGTCAACACTCAGTAAGTTCTGTTTGGGTTCTTTTCAAATGACACAACTGATTTTAAAAGTTTAATATGTTTATCGGGTTACTTTTTTCTAAACTAGAGGAACTTTATTCATACTTACTGTATTAAACCTATATGGATTTCAAAATTATCTGAATTGCTTCGTGAAATGTACTTACTTCTTTTCAATGAATTGTAATGATTCTTTCAGACAGATTGATCAGTTTATAATTTCACAAAACTTAACAACTAAATGTTTACTTTGATATCATGAATGGATCAATCTAAATTCAAAACTTTCTACAACCCTATACTCATAATTATCGTGTCTTCACTAGTGAATGCCTTCAAAATGGATTTCCTGGAGTTCCAGTGAGAAGGATTGACAAGGAGAGTTCAACCGTGTCTGTTGTAAGACAGTTACTCATTGAAGACAATAGTGGACGGTGGCGCAATATCGCGGATTAATTGGAATTATACATTAACACCGTTGGATGCCGGTTCAGTGGTCTAGAGGTTAAGCGTTTGCACGTGAGACCGAAGGTTCCAGGTTTGAGTCCCGCCTGCGTGATCGTGGATGCTCATTACCATACAAGGACGAAACAGTGGTCCAATGCTTCCAGCTTTCCAATAGTGGTCTAACATTGATCCATTCATGATATCAATCTAAACTCAACAATCTCCATAACCCTATACTGATGTTTGCGATCAAAATACTACACACTAGTGAAGTATCAATAGTTATTCTCAAATTGAGTTATAAATTGTTTTGTTTTGGTAATACTAAAAGTGATTCATTTGATTTCTAAGTCAATGGTTTACGAAAATGTTCCCTTATGAAATAATCAGACCTATTTTTTTCACTTTATAAATAAAACATTGATAATCAATAGACTATTACTGTACTTTATAACTTGACAATGGTTCATATTTCATGCTTTGAAGGAAAATCGTCTTGGTGATATTTGTTTCTCATTACGTTATGTTCCAACTGCTGGAAAATTGACTATCAATATTTTGGAAGCTAAAAATCTCAAGAAAATGGATGTTGGTGGATTATCTGGTTAGTTTAAATTTTTTTTTAAATTTCTCATTTGAGAAATAAAATAACTTCAACACAATATTGAATAGTTTAGTCGACCATCAGTGTTAATCGTCAAGTAGGACAAACCAAAAACAAATCAAATTCATTGAGTATTGTTTGTTTGAATCTTCCCATCGATTTGTTAGGACTGTAACTGGTCAGTCTCTAATTGGCATATGTGCATCCTGTGCGTATTGCCTCGATATAGCCTTAATTCACAAGCATTGTAAGCAAAGATGGATAGTGGCTAGCAGTGGAATCCAGTTTGGCGCGCGTTTCGTCCTACTTGGGACTCGTCAGCTGTGAATTAACGCTATATAGAGGCAATACGCACAGTATGCACATATGCCAATTAGAGACTGACCAGTTGCAGTCCTAAACATCAATGGGAAGAATCAGACAAACAATACTCAATGAATTTAAACTTCACCCCATCGCACAAGCAAATGGCTATCAGGACTCAGTGGCCGAGTGGATAAAGCGATGGTGTTTGAAGCGAAAGGTACTGGATTCGAGTCCCTGAGATGCAGGTACATCCAACTGACGAGTTCCGAATAGGACGAAACGCGCGTCAAACTTAATTCCACTGCTAGCCACTATCCATCTCTGCTTACCAAAAACAAATCAGTTATACTGTGAATGAGTATTGTAAATCAAGATAATTTTTTCTGGTAAACTACTGACGAGTACAGGTTTTCCTCTCTTATTTTTAGTATGAGAAAAGGTCATATCTTAGCAACAAGAAACTCCAAATAAGTAATTTGGTTGCTAAGTTACACCGAACAAACAGAAACGTTTGATAGAATTATTAAAAATAGTAATATAATCTATAATTGTAGATAATTACAAAATTTATGGTAAGATTTACTGAAGCAGTTAAAAATTCACATGTGGAGATAGTCAAAGTAACCCACTGAGTTATTGACAAAGAAACAAAGACAATTCAAAATGTCTATATCACTAACACAGATGGACGTAATTAGACTTGGCAGGTTAATAGATTAGGTGAACCATAATAGATATCTCTAATTAAATTCATTTAGTATTGTTTGTCTGAGATGCAGGTACATCCAGCTGACGAGTCCCAAATGGGACGAAACGCGCGTCAAACTGGATTCCACTTCTAGCCACTATCCATCTTTGCTTAGATACCTCTAATGATTGAGTTCTCAGTGAGATTGTTATCTCATACTGTAGTGAACAAAACACTGGTTGGGGACAATCGAATGTATTTAAGCAAAAATTACAGACTATCTCAGTAAATTCTGATAACCAAACAATGAACAGTCAATTTGCAAATTAACAACCAATTATTTCAATCTTCACTGTTTCTTCTCTAATTTCATTGCTCATGCATTTTCCAAACGATTGCGCTTCATTTCAGCTCTTTGCTCATCGGTCTTCTGCCAAAATACATTCTATGTCTGACCCACACCATATACTACTTATATGGATATAAGTAGACCACACCACAATACCGAACTTTTTGAAAGCAATCACTTCGTAAGATTTAAATGGGCAGCATATTCTTGAGGGTATAAGAGATATTCATTCACATATTGTAAACTCATAGAAGTAATTCTCTGATCACGAAATTATCTATTTATGTAAAGTAGGTTCCATGAGTAGACAGTTGAATTTTCATATAGAAATTAAATATGGCTTCTTCTTATACCCTTGAACAAATGTTTAATAATTGACGTCAATTATTAAACATTTGATTTTGCTGGGAGCATCAATAATTTTGACTGACATCTTAGGCAATCAGGGATGATATTACATGTTTTAAAATACCATTATAGATCAATATTTATGTTTTAATTTCACTAAAAAAACACTGTTTTACGCAAGATCCTATCAGATTTTCCCTAGATTTAAACTGTTTGATAATGTTTGGACAAATGCTAAATTAAAATGGTTATATAAACAGAAAAATCTCTGTTCCTGGCTAACACATTCATCATGGTTCATTATTAAAGTGTTTTTTCTCTTTGTAATATTTAATTCACAAGGCGTTTTGTGGAGATTTCAGTATTTTTCATAGTTGAAATCATGAGTCAATTGAAGCTAGACCACCATGGAAAACCTGGAAGCATTGGACGGCCGTTTCGTCCTATTGTGGGACTCTTCAGTGGTAGTGCGCATCCACGATCCCGCACTCGCGAGATTCGAACCCAAGACTTATCAATCTCGCGCCGGAGCACTTAACCGATAGACCACTGAGCCTACCGGTATCCAACGGTGTTAATGTCTAACTTCAACCAATCCACGAAGTTTGTGCAACCGTTCACCAATTATCTTCAGTGAGTTGATATCTCTACAACAGACTTGGTTGAACTCCATTGGTCACTGTTTCCCACTAGAACTCACTGAAGACAATTGGTGAACGGTTGCTAATATTTAATTACTAAATTTAAACTTTGTGATTAAAAAAACGGTTCAGCCTTTATTGCTATATGAAAACCTATGCTGATATTAATCATTTATGTCAACATTATTTTTCGTAGATCCATATGTTAAACTTTCTTTAATGTTGGGAGGGAAAAGAATTAAAAAGAAGAAGACTACCATTAAGAAATGCACATTAAATCCTTATTACAATGAATCATTTGCATTCGAAGTACCATTTGAACAAATCCAAGTAAGCAATTATTATTAAACAAAATTAATACGATATCTTGAGTATAGTTTTTTTTGATTGGGATCATGAATTGATTAATCATGGCCTAAAACTGATCCATTCATGATCTCGATGAAAACTCAACAATCTCTACAACCCTATACTGATTGGAAACAAAAGTTTTGAAAATGAATCTTAAAAATAATAGAAATTATTGATATATTATTTAGAAAAACATTTACTTTACAAGAACTAGACAAATGAATATACGCATAGAGATAAGTTCAAAGCGAATGTCCGGCGCTTTAACCGGGTTGGTGGACACGGAAAGTTCACCTAGGGGAGTTGGAAAACCCTGATTTCAAACCAATGATGCACATGGGCTCCAGTATCCTGAAGGAACAAACGGCGTATGAATCAATCGTTGGTCACCGGCTACCATGGGAATGCATCTCCTTACGATGCTCTACTGCCTTGTGGACTAGGCCTTCAGGTCAAAGACTCGGGGTATGGCCCCCTAAGAAAACCATCTGCTTCAGTCTGGGCACCTTGGCAGTATCGCAGCCTTCACACAAATCAAATAAGATTTGTGCGGCGCATATGTATCTGGTGCTTCCTTGTACCAATATTTATGTGTTTAAATAAATAAATAAAATAAGTTCAAAGAATTTTTCACTCTGAATGTCAATTCAATGAATAGTGGGTCCAATGCGTACTGAAGATTTGGGAGATAAACTGTCACAAGATACAACAGTGATCCAAGAAAAACCAACATTTATAATGCCGAAGAAAATTTTTTGTATACTGTTTATTATTCTTAACTTCACAAGACAATGTCCCAAACGTATACACAATCCGAGATAGCATTTAATCATTACAAGTAACATTATAATAGAGAAGTTCAGATCTTCCAGAAAAAAGAATAGTCACCTTGTATACATTGAAGCAAGTCGTCTAACTAGATCATCTACATAACTAAAAGTAAACCAATTGGTAGAAACACTGTTGGTTTTGTGATCAATAACGTCATTACAATAAGTTGTGAAAATATGTACTATAACATTATTTTAGAGAAACACTGGATTAAAGGACGACTCATTATTTAAATTGAAACAGAATCCGACCTTTCAAAGCTTGTTCTGATGTGATTCTCATGCTATTCTCATCTGATTAACTGACAAGCTACCTTAGGATTATACACCACCGTATCTTAATTTTTCCAGCATGATTCACAACTTTAGAAATAACCATTAAATTATTTAATGACATTCAAGAGGGTATCCAGAATTGTATTGGTTGTAGTGGGTTATTTGTTTACTTTGGAAAATACTGAGACAGAAAACCAGACGACTGTTTAAAACGTAGATACATGTGTAGCGATCTCTACTTTTTCGTATAAATACACTGAGCTACCTAGATCGGAATCCAATACTAAACTTTCACTTGATTAGTTTAACTACCTCGCATGTAAAAACTGGAATGTCACACTTTAAATTTGATGAAGAAACAATTGAAAATATATTCAGATATAACATCCTCCTATGCATTAGAAATGTACTGATATTAGTGAACCAGCGTCGTATTTTCTACAGAGAACCACCTCATGCTACATTTCATCTTAATTATTTATTTGCAGAAAGTAACATTAATTGTGATCGTGGTAGATTATGATAGAATTGGTACATCAGAAGCAATTGGCCGAGTTGTTCTGGGTTGCAATGAAACAGGAGCAGGTTTACGTCATTGGTCAGATATGTTAGCCAATCCTCGTCGACCTATTGCACAATGGCACACTTTACAACCAATGCCTGAGAAAGGTTAAAAAAAATATGTAACTGCAAAAGAAAACTCAAACGATACTCTACAATTTATTTCACTATTTTCCTCTAGTGTACCTATCTACCTACCTACCTATCTTTCTAACAGGATTATATTCTAGTCACAAAGCAATAAAACATTTAGAGAATGGTATGTAACAAATGAAGAAGAAAAAAAACACAACCAAATACAGTAAAACACTACAAACTATGAATTTCTTATATATTTATCAGTTACTCATTCCCGGATTCTATTCTACTACTTGATAAAAGTAATAGAAGAAGACTAGAATGATGTTCATTTAAAGTGTGTAACTTTAACATGTAACCAATACAGAAACAATTGTCTCACTATATACATCATCTATGGATACTTAAATAAATAATCATTTTTTCATTTAGTGTTTTCTTAATTGAGAATAATTTCAATTTATCAACCACCCACTCACCCCCCTTCTTTGATTGAATTTGTGTCCATGGATAAATCACAGCTCATTTCCAAAAAATTCTTTACATATAATGAAAGTTTATCAACTCGTCTTTTATTTAATACCGCTCTTATATATATATATATACACATACAGACATAATTCTTTACCCGATTCTTTTTTTTTCTCGTGGGGAATCATTGTGACATTCAATTCTTATAGAAACTAATCTGTTATCTTGTTTTTTTCTGATTAAACCTCCCACCATCACCACCACCACCCCTCTGTTCATTTTATTTTTCTTTTACACATCTTATATACTATAAATATACTTCAATCTTGAATGTAGCCTCTTAATTCATTGTACGAGTTTTGATTTGTCTTAAGAATGTTGTTTAAGTGATTATTTCTTTGTTAAATGAATATTCAATGTGAGTTTATGTACGTCAATATTCTCTTTGTTTTTTCCTTTATACGAAGAGTTCATCATCATGTGAAGTTCGAAATAAAGATCTCTTGATTGATTAAAAGTTTACTGCATAGTATTAAAATAACCTAATTGTGTCGTTTTTTTAATATTGTGCTAGATATATATATATATGTTAAAATATACAAAACAATTTATTTAGACTGTAGATCCCGACCATTGCTGATACCTTGACGTGGTGGTCAGACTTGTCTAAAAGCAGCAAACCCAAGGTCCGAAGGCGAAGTCGTACTGCTGACTGTACGGAGGTGTGACGGCAGTAAGGTGTTTCCTTCAGACAACCAGCATAACAGCGATGCTACCTTCCCACAATGAAGGGTTGGGGTTAAAAAAGGTCGACCCTAAAAATGTACACCTCGCCTTACTCCACAAATTTCCTTCTCCGGTGGTAAGGTTCCAACAAAAACGGAGATAACACGAAAACTACTTACAAAAAGGTCATGTGTGACCAGTTGTCCCTTTAGCTTTGCGGTCACGCTCTCAGATCACTAAGATCACCTCTAACCCAATTTCCTTTTCAGGTACCTCTAGAAGAACTCTTCTATGGTGTGGGAAACCGGGAAGTGATAATCAGCCCCATACCTCTAACAGCACTCAAGATCACTTTATTCATAACCAATCTCCATTTTTTTAGTTTCTATTATTCCTTCTACCTCGAATTTCAACTCTAAATTTCCTCTTTTGACTTCCTCCTCAAGTATCATCATGTCCAAAGATTCTAGTGCATGGAACACTGTCCCAGGTCAACTGAAACCTCGCTGCAAACTATACATTGGAGCTTTCGACGTACGCACCCTATGCTTGGCTAAAACCATAAAATCTCGTACCATTGATGCATGCATACGCGATCCTGGTGTGGTCATTCACGTGACCTCGTCTAGCCAAAACGGAAAGCCGACGATATACACCCTCTGTCTATTTGGCGATCCGATGGCTAGTTCTCATAGACTGGAGGGTGAGGCATGGCACTATGTACGGGAACAAAACAAGCACTATTAGAATGGATCCCTGTTAACAGTCGCCTGTGTTATTCGAATAAACGACTCTGTAAGAACTCAAAAGGATAGGGATACACGTCGTTGCCTTTTCGTCGTTTCTCTCTATGCCTCCACTAATTGCGGAACACTTTAAGGAGCAGTTCAGCTGACAATCAGCTACTCTGAAACTACTCACCATTACCAGAGTCAGAATGGAACACTGAAGTAGGCCCCAACACTCTACATGAAGTTCAAAAGGTTGTTGCTAATCTGAAACGAGGAAGAGCAGCTGGATTGGCTCTAACAGTTTTTAAGTATGGTGGTCCAGTTTTAACGATCAGGTTGACTAAGATTTTAGCTAACATCTAGGAGTTCGATGTAATCCCATCGGATCGGCCACAATCACTGATTATCCCAATATATACTGAGTCAAAATCATCCTGCGATAACCATAGAGGGATTACTTTGACTAATATAACATCTAAAATACCAGCCTCAGTAATTATCGGACACCTAACAAAGACTCGTGAACTGCAAACACGAGAAAATCAGGCTGACTTCAGACATTGTCGTGGCTGCATCGACCATATATTCACCATTCGTCAGGTTTCAGAACACAGATATGCTTATCGGCGTCCGACAATGATAGTTTTTCTTCACTTAGAAACAACATTTGACTATGTAGACCGGGAGGTTTTGTCGCAGTGTTTGTCATTCAAAGGTGTACCTCAAATGTACATAAACCTTGTGAAAGCTCTTTACTCGAACACTACCAGTCGAGTCACAGCTTATAGAGAACCATCATATGATTTTGCAACCTAAAGTGGTGTCCGGCAAGCCTATCCACTATCTCCATTTTTGTTTAATTTCACCATGGACCTACTGATAGAAATAACGTTCTCGTCGTCGGAATTTTCAGAACTCCATCTCCTATCAGGAGGTTCACTTATCGACTTAGAATACGCAGATCATATAGTCCTGTTTGACGAAGACGCTGATAAAATGCAGTCTTCTATTAACTTTGAGCAACAAAGCCAGGATGTTTGGAATGCGTTTCTCCACCTCTAAATGTAAATTGTTGCTTCAGGACTGGCCTGCGTCAACAACTGAACTAAGGATAGAGAGTGAAGTAATCGAACACGTCGACAACCTCACTTGGGAGTCTGATCAACCCTAATGGGTTGATGACTGACGAAATCTCTGCACGGATGCAGTAAGCCCTTTTGGTTTCTGCCAACTTACGTCACCTATGGCGAAAGCGAGATATCCGTCTATCAATTAAGGGACGAGTATACTGCGCAGTAGTTCGCTCTGTTCTGCTATACAGCTGCGAAATGCGGCCATTAAGAGTAGAAGATACTCGTAAGCTACTAGTAGTTGACCACAGATGTCTTACAAATATCATTCGTATCTGCTGGGATCACCGGGTAAGTAATAATGAGGTTAGACGTAGGGGATTAGGGAATGATGGTAAACCAGTTGATGAGGTTGTGGATCTTCATTGACTTAAATGGTTTGGTCATGTGTTACGTATGCCTGAACAATTACCACGACGCACAATGTTGACTAGTATTGGGGATGGTTGGAAGTTAGGGGCGGCCAAACCAAAACGTAGCATCAGTCCTTGAATTCACTAACTTCTGGTCTTAGCCGTGTTGGTAGATGGTTGGGGTCCGTGCAACTATCATAACCAGTAGTTGGAGACTGGGTGACATGGCTCGAAATCAATTACAACATTACGGAATAAATAAATAAAATTAACAGATTGATATAGAATTGTTATTATAACTTCCTTACAGTGTAAATTTACTAATACATTTAAAAAGCAACCAGTTCGAAAATAACATCACCACAGTGCAATAATCCAAATAAAATGCTTGGTGATTGAAATTTTACATAAAGTACAAAATTTAACCAGTAAGTAATGCTAAAAATTACCGTTCTACATACAGAAGATATAGTTGAAATGAGTTGGGTTTGTGAATATCAAGGGCGATAAAAAACACGCACAGCTGTTAGCTTCACTATCAACGACAGTCAGCTTTTTATAACAATAGTACATTTACACGTGAGTACAAGTGGAATACTTTAACGTACTGTTAAAAGCAATCAAAAGCCGATTTTTGTGTGAAAAAAAACTTGTGAAAGATCAAAGATTTCCCATTATTATATTAGTTGTCCCAATATTTGGCATAATAGTTCAGGTTTCTGTGTGGTGCGCTGTAGGATCTAGGGTTCCACACTGATGTATTTGGATTGTCAAGATCATACCGCTGAGCGTTTTCATTCTGTGCTTGGATAAGGGCACGAGCTTGAGCAAGATATTCTGCGTTACGAGCCCGTGAGTTTGGACGACCAGTTCCCGTAAGCGTATAACCATTACGTTGTTGACCTCGGCTATTACTTCGGAAATTTGTTCGTTGACCCCACCTTTGATTACGAACAAAGGTGTTGTTGCGTAAGGAAGTATTTCGGGATAGGGCTCCACGGAACGATGTCCGTCTACCTAGATGCCATATGAAAAAGACCATTAATCAAACCATTTAGAAATTATAAGACCATTAGAAAAAGAAAATTAAACTACAGGTTACAATAAGTTCATGTCAGCATAAAGGCTTGAATCTAGTTGTTGTCTCTGATGTTCTTTAAGTAGTAGTTTCCATAGCTAACCTTGAGTTTCATGATGGGTCACATAATAACAATTTTCACGGGTTTTATAGGTATCTATTCCTCTAAAAAATAACTATCAGGTATTAATCCAATTCTTAGCAAATTGAAGGCGTTGAAAGAATCTCTACACTTTTGAATATAGTTTGGATCCAGCGAATTTAGTGAGTTTGGTTGTTACTACAGCAATTAAAAGTCCTGTGTAGGGTTGGCTTCTAAAATACTTGAGTCTCAAGATTTTGTATTTAAAGTAGTAAATAAACATTGAAACATTCATATTACACGGAGAAATGAAATGAAATACCTAACTACTACCTACAAAACTTCACTAAAAATTCACCACAATATATAAAATCGACTGTAGAAGCCAGCAAACAAATAATCTCACTATTTATACAAGACATCTTAGGTATCATAGCCAAATTATGGTCTTTAACAATGGTTGTAGCTAACAAGCACACGAAACTTCTATAATTTATATCATCCAACACAAATGATACACTATCAAAGATAAGCTCAATATCATCTGCATGCCATAAGAAATGTGGAGAACACTAAATCACACATAGTGTTAGTTTTCCATCTTTGTCTGTGTAAACATTAAAAGCTGTCAAAGCCCATGACATATATTTACCTATATATATGTACGTGGAAAACTATGAACACAAATATCAGCTAGGAAAACGTTATAAAATAGTGAATAAATGACAATATAGAAACCATACAGAAACCTAACATTTAATGGTCAATGGACATTGAAGAACACCTAATTTATTGGTTAATCGAAAGACTGATAGTGAACTATGAAGACTGATTTCAGATCCGGGAACAAAAAAAATCAAAATAGATGCGGACTGTGACAACACGCATATACGTAACGCTAAGTCGATTTCCCCATTTGACAGAATAATCTGTAAGTTACTGATGGAGAAATTATAAAGGCTCTTTATTTCTAAGTTTGTGCGGACGATATTGTCTAGAAAGACAAATTAAAACTACAAAATCGAAAAATCGAACCCATTGAACAAAACACCTTCAAGAAAACTACAAACGTTTTTTTATGCCATAATCTGTGTAATTCTGTATAAGCGACAAAAGCTTAACATGAAGCGTCAGAAAAAACGAAATCCAAGTGGCGTTAAGTGCAATCAATTTCACCTATTATAAGGGAATTAGATGGAAACCGTAAGTCGTATCCTGAAGCCGGTTTAGAAATTCATTGTGATTCAAGCAGTTAGTGATAAGCCAAGACACTACTAAATTTTACTTGGTGTTCAGGTTTTTATGTAATATGGTACATATGAATCATCGGAAAATACGGCCAGAAACCCGAAATTAAAAATTGTGAAAAGCAAGCACCGAAAAGTTAGTTTACCTTGAGGTGATCCCAATACCTGAAGGGATCTATGACGTGGACGTCTTTGAAAACTATGTGATTGCTGCTCTGATTGCCACGAACGACCAGTGACTTGAGGTGTACTGTAAGCTCCTCGGGAACCGACTGTTGAAGCAGGAGCGCTCCTCCGTCTTGAGGGACGTCTTTCATAGGCTATAAGAAGAAATAAATGCTTCCAATTGTTCATGTTCGGGGATATCACTGAGAATACATCAATTAAATTAGTCGTAGGAATCATTTGAGGAACACTACTGAATAGAAACGATGAAGAATGATTCATTCGAGAAAAGCTAATCCAGTATCGTATAAACCCAATCATTATTAAGCTTATTCATGTAACCTTGCACAGTCAATCTAACACTTGAGTAAGTGCCAACCTCTAGGGACAAATACTTTATGAACTTATTACTGAAAAAATAATAATATTATGATCATAAAGAAAATTATTTATAGGAACCAGTGCGCACCAATGCGAGAGGTTGGTTGAATGTTTCTTCGTTCATTAAACAACTGCTGACGTTGAATACGATTGCGCTGAAGAAGTGCAGTGGCAGCAGCAGCTGTCTTAGCAGCAGCAGCGGCGGTTCTCTGAGCTCGGCGAAGGACCGCCTGTGCTGTCGATCTACTTGAGCGGATATTTTTTACAGTGAACACACGTTTGTTTTTTGTTAAAACATGCGGTTGAGAAGAAGACCCCTGAATAGGACGATTGATTCGAGAAAGTCGTTTCTGCCTTAAACCACGTAGTCGGGTTGCAGCAGCAGATATTCGAGGTTTTTGTCGATACTGAGAAAAATTCTGGCGTCTACCACGAATAGCTATCGTTTGTTGAACTCGTTTATTTTTACGAGCTTCTTTCTTATCCAATTTAATAATTTCATCTACAAAAAAAGAGAAAGATAATTCATGAGTTGTGAAAATTAATGATTAAGTTTAAGCGATGCTATAATTGCAACATCCATGATAGACGGAGTTATTAACAAGTAACCAAACTTCATTCGAACTGAGACAAATTTCAAGCGGGAACTTTGTTTATTGTCGAAATAAATTGAACATCATTTAGCGAAAATATAAGTAACTGTGATAATGACCATGGATAAACTACTCCGATTCTTGGAAAACCTTTAATTTTTTATGATGACAAGTTCTTTACTTTTTTGTTCACTGAAATACATGGAAAAGTAGCATGGGATGAATGGAAATAATTTAGGAATTATTTATGCATCAATTAATCACCAGTCATATACAATGCAGAATCTCGAACATGCGCACCTCTGTCCAGGTCCCCACATCCCATTGTACATGGACACTATGCACCGTGATATTCGACAAAAAAAATCTACGCTGAACATTTCCTCTACCTACGTTATACCCCCACCGGACAGCTTAACACACCCGACAAATATTATGGGATTGCATCTCCTGACGTTTCACGACTGCCTTGTAGATTAGACCTTTAAGTGGTAGGCTCCAAGTGGCCTCCTGCTTTGTTTGAGTTCTCAGAGAGAACGATGATGATTAATATTGAAGGAAGTGTTCCTGATTGCCTTTGCCATCTATACAAATGATATTTACAAATACCTAATTAAAAACAAATTCATTATAAACTTACTATATTTCATCTCTATTTTGTATATACTTTTATTGTGTTTTTTTTAACTAAACTAGCAGCTCTTCTATGATAAGTTCTACCTTGTCTAAACGATCTTTAAGTCATTAATAGGTCGAAAGTTTGAATATTACCATCGAATACAGAATCAGAATAAGCTTTCTTGAAACCACATGTCATTAAAACTGGTCACCTTCAACAGTTACCCACCGATGCAGATCGAACAACAAATAGGTTTAAGTATGTTTTCCGAAAGTCTCGATATCAATATACGATGTACATTCAAGGTTTGTATTTACGACTACTAAAGTAATACTAGTTTGCTCTCTATTAATCGATCCGAGAAGTCTGTTTCACAAGCGGTTACTTGGCAGTCCTGTAGCATTTTCATCCACTTTGGCTTGGGTTGGTACCCTATTAAACGCTAAAGCAAAAGTGGGACTAATTGACTGACCTGACCTTCATAGCCTGTGACGATTGATCCATCTGACGAGACGGAAGCACACAAGAAACTTCAACTTTTAAAGAGCCACAAATCACTAGACCCAGATGACTTACATCCGGCCCTTTTTAAAGATGGTGGCGACCTTCTGTTTAGGAAACGGATTGAGTTATTTACAAATGTCGGATATTTAGAGTGCTTCAATATCGTGGAATGAGTTGATCATTTTGCCTATATTTACGAAGAGTTCATATTACCTATACACATGGGCTCCAGGATCCTGATCGAACGAATGGCGAACGAACCTGCTGTTGGTCACCGGCTACCATGGGACTGCATCTCCTCACGATGCTCCACTGTCTTGTGGATCAGACCCTTAGGTCAAAGGCTCAGGGTTTGGCCCCCTAAGAAAACCACCTGCTTCGGTTTGGGCACCAGGGCAGTATCACAGCCCACACAAAAATCGAAAGAGATTTGTGAGGCGCATATATATCTGGTGCTTCCTTGTACCAATATTTATGTGTTTAAATAAATAAATAAAACACAAATAAATGAAATGATGAATTCTATTGATGATACTATTCTCGCTCATATTAGAAGCAAGACAATTTACACTATTATTATTATTACCATTATTATTATTATTATTATTATTATTATTATTATTATTATTATTTACTACGTCGCTTTTTCACTCCCTTTATTCCCAAATTGTGTAACCTTACTTTTCAACTTATGCAGTAGCTCACCCATGGTAGAAACTCTGTCCTATCTAAACGATCTCCAGTCACTATCTGGTTGAAAGTGAATGTTTCCACCGATTACGAATACTGAAGCAGTCTTTCTGAAACCACGTACGCCGTTCAAGCTGGCTTCCTTCAACGTTCGCACACTAATGCAGATCGGACAACAGATGGGGCTGGCTATGTCTTTAGAAAGTCTTAATGTTGATGTTTGCTGTCTATCCGAGACCCGTACTCAAGACTCTAGTGAAGTACTACAAATTCGCTCTCCATCTGTCGCTTCGAAAAGCTTGTTCCACGTGCGATTATCCGGGGACCCTGTGGCATCTTCGTCTGGTCTTGCTGGCGTTGGTGTTGCACTAAGCGCTAGGGCTGAGGCAGCACTAATCGATTGGATCCCCATTAATAGTCGGTTATGTGCTGTTAGATTAGAAAGTTCCATCAAAGTGAGAAGAAATCGGCGTGAGAAACGGTGTCTTTTCGTCATCTCCGCCTATGACCCGACAGATTGCAGCCCGGATGCAATCAAGGATGAGTTTTACCACCAGTTAACAGTTCTCCAGAAAGCGCGTTCGACAGATATTGTAGTATTAGCTACAGACTTGAATGCTCAGGTCGGGCGTCTAGGCACAGAAGAGAGTCGTCTAGGTGGCCGATGGGGACTTGTTGGTCGCAGGACAGATAACGGGGACCGTTTGCTGCAACTGTGCACAGACCACAACCTGTTTCTGGCTAGCACTAACTTTCGGCACAGTCATCGCCGATGTGCCACCTGGCGTCCTCCCTCTGCATCTCAAGCCTGGACTCAAATTGATCACATCGCGATCAGCTACCGATGGCGTGGTTGTGTACAAGACTGCCGCTCCTTTTGGAGTACCTATCTGGAGTCTGATCATGCCCTGGTCTGCGCCAATCTCACCTTACTTTTCAGTGGCCGAAGGATTGACCACCACCAACGGATTGATATTAGTAAACTGGCTGCAACTTCTGTTGCAAGTAAGTATCGAGCTGAGCTAGCCTCTAGGCTAGCTACAACCCCACCGAAAAGTATAGACGAGCATTGGTTGCTTCTTCACGACGCCATGAAAATGGCGAGTAAAGCCGCTTGCGGCTTCGCGAAACGTCCCGCTTACAAGCACTGGGTCTCTTCTGGCTCCTTACAACTGATGGAAGCCCGTCGGTCTACTCCGGGTGACCGTGAGTTTGACCACAAACGAAGGCTGTTACGTAATGAAATCGGGCAAAGCTTGCGTAAGGACCGAGAAGCCTGGTGGTCGGAGAGTGCTAATGAGATGGAATCAGCAGCTGCATCTGGTAACTGCCGGAAGCTCTTTCAACTCATCCGAGCCACTGGCAGCAAGAAGTCTGGTGTGAGTGAAACAATCTACGAGGATGACGGGATGCCAATCAGTAACATCTCTCGACGTCTTGGACGATGGGCGGAATTTTTCGAAGGGCAGTTCAACTGGCCTGCTGCTCCGGCAACATCAACCAGTTTGTCCTGCCCCCCATGGCCGGTGACGACTGATCCACCAAACGAGCGGAAGTTCGCAAGGAACTCCAACTCTTGAAACGTTACAAATCACCTGGCCCAGATGACTTACCTCCAGCTCTTTTTAAAGATGGTGGTGACTTTCTGACTAAGGAATTGACTGTGTTGTTTGCAAAGGTTTGGGAGGACGTAAGTGTCCCAACATCATGGAATGAGTCGATAGTCGTCCCTATCTTTAAAAAGGGTTCACGTTGTTCCTGTAACAACTATCGGAAGACAAGTCTACTTCCGATTGCGCCCAAACTATTGGCTTCTGTCATTCTTCGTAGGTTGTTTAAAACCCGAGAACGATTGACTCGCGAGGAGCAGGCTGGTTTTCGTTCTGGTCGAGGATGCATTGATCACATCTTCACCCTCCGCCAAATGTTAGAACAACGTCATACTTATCGCAGGCCAACAATCGTAGTGTTGATATCAGTGCTGCCTTCGATTCGTTGGACAGGACTGTTCTCTGGGATTGTCTATTGAAGAAGGGTGAGCCTGAGAAGTTCATTAACATCTTAAAGGCCCTGTATACGAACACCTCAGGCAGAGTGAGGGCATACAACCACCTTTCTCCCTTGTTTCATTCGAGCAGTGGGGTTGGGCAGGGTTGCCCAATCTCACCATTCCTCTTCAACTTTGCCATCGACGACATCCTGGAAACAGCTCTGATGGATGTAAGCAATGGCGGTGTGGATATGTTGCCTGGAGAACGACTTCTCGACCTTGAGTATGCGGATGATATTGTCTTACTGTGCGATAATGCTCAAGCCATGCAATCCGCGCTTAATCAGTTGGCAATCAGTGTCCGCAGGTACGGTCTGTGCTTTGCTGCCTCCAAGTGCAAAGTACTCCTACAAGACTGGTAGGATTCTCATCCTGTACTCACTCTGGATGGTGAGCAGAAGTTCGTGTATCTAGGTAGCTATATAAGTGCTGGTGGTGGCGTGAGTGATGAGATTGATGCACGTATAAGAAAAGCCAGAGCGGCTTATGCCAATCTGGGCCATCTTTGGCGCCTTTGTGATGTTAGTCTGCCTGTAAAAGGTCGGATCTACAACGCGTCGGTGAGAGCAGTTTTGCTCTATGCTTGTGAAACCTGGCCTCTCCGAGTTGAGGATGTTAGACGTCTCTCTGTGTTCACATCGTTGTCTCCGAAGGATTGCTGACATTCAGTGGCAACACCATGTTAGTAATGCAGAGGTTCGGCATCGTGTGTTCGGGCGCAAAGACGATAATTCAATTGGTGTCACCATCTTGAAACACCGACTTCGGTGGCTTGGACATGTTTTACGAATGTCGTCCCAGAGACTTCCACATCGTGTATTATTTGCCGACCCTGGGACTGGTTGGAAAAAGCGGAGAGGTGGTCAGTGTATGACATGGTGTCGTGGCATGAAAGAAAGCTGCAAAGGGCTAGCTTCTGTTGGTCCTTCACGACTCCCCAGCTGGGGTCCGAGAGATGGTGCAACACAGTGGCTGGAGACGTTATCAGATATGGTTCAGAATAGAAGCCAGTGGCGAACTTGCTGTAACCTTCTTTTACTTTCTACATAAAGAGTGCTTCTAACTTTCTTAACTGAGTCTTCTGGTTGTACATTTCAGTCCGCCTTATCTTTTCATCCCTTCTCTTCCTACTTTCATTATTTTGTGTGGCGCATATGTATCTGGTGCCCTTTTGTACCAATATATGTGTTTAAATAAATAAATAACTTCTGAATACATTCCGAGATTTTGTCAGACACCAGTCCTAATGCGTTGGTGAGTACCTCAGCTACTTCACTCCCCATTATTAATTTAGACTTTCACACAGACTAATCCTGAAACAACATCTTTCACTTGGAAGGGGGACATCTTTGAATTGTTCCTGAAAGTGGCAGTATTTTATCAAAATATTCACCAAACGAAACTTTACTAACAAGAGTATCTCCTCGCAGATTGACTTTCGAAAAGTCTATCGATAACAACTTCATCTCGAAAAGCATTTCCACGAAAAATCTATGTGCAAAATAGGTAGAGTGGATAACCATAAACTCTGACTGGACCGACAGTTTTAGAGCAGACTTAAAGTCTGAGACTAGGATGATCTTGCGACAGTAGACTCTATCCCGAGAACGGTAACTGTATGCCAGATATTCGGTCTTATACATACGTACTAACAAAAATTTCATGAGCAACAGAAGCCTACAGGCTTCTGACACCGTAGTTTACGTCTCAAATAGCCCAGTCTAATCGATGCTAACTGTAAAAAATGACTCACCTGGCACAGGAATATCTTACCTAAGCTCATATCCAACTTGTTATTTGTCTCATCCTCCGTTTTCATCCTTATCGAAAAACAGAAACCGCACTTGACACCCGACCTTCATACGCTTAAACAAAGCTCGAAAGATGTTTCTAATCTTCCATAATAAGTATAACGGTATGTCACTTAAAGTGCAATAATATCTGTAGCGCTCATATTTTTGAAGATCTAGTTGCACTTTGAAGATATTTATTGGGGGATTAGAGTCATCTACACGGACTGACCGCTCCATGAGAAAAACGGAGTCTCATACTGAGTTTATTAGATCGAGGTGGGCAGTACTAAGACGAAACCGCCATTCATTGCCTCCAGTTTTTCGATTTTAATTCCACTTATATCTGTGGATGATTCTGAAGAAACTTACCAATCTCTCCAACCTCGTGCTGAAAAGTCAAGAACGTTCTAATACCCAGGTGACCAAATACCTTAAACTCACGAGACGATCTAAAACCATTTATCAAAAATCATACACAATCAAGCGGTTGTTTTAGCCTTGAATGGTCATGATTTCTGTTTCTATACGAAGCGACATTATTCACACTGGTGGCCGATATTGGTCACAATGCAGTTGCAAGTACTTATCAACAATAACCTAGTTCTGAACCATTCAGATAACTTTTGTTTGCCGCTACGTTGCCCTTAACTATCCCCTTCAATTCTTCTTATCGCTGTCCAACTCCCGATACGATTGTGATAAAATTAGATTGATGATAGGTGACGACTAAAGATTTCACAGATATTCAGTGTTTGACAACGATGCTGTCCTTAACACCTTTATAATCGAATGGTATAAATTGACTAAAATGAGAAGCCAGGAACGAATGATTCCAAAAGTATATTTTCCAGGTGTTCAACGCGTCGAAAACTGTATGACCTAAGCTGGATAGTTGAGTGGCACGGTGTATACAGTGGTGACCTGGTGTGGATGAGTGACTGAGCTCTTTCAGTTATGGTGTGTCCAATAAAACCATTGAGGCCAGCATGAATGTCGAAAACTTGAGGAACTATTCATTTCGAGGATTCCTTCACCTCAACTTACATAGGATCGTGTGAAAAGAGGATTCCACCAATTATCTACATCAAACAGGATAGGTTTTCAAATCCACTTGACGCAAACAGTCTTTTAGAGATGATACATCCCAATATCTTAAATTCCAATACTGAAGACCTTGGAGAGTTCCAGTAAGACCATATAAATAACGTTAAGGTCTGTGGACTTGCGATCACCGTTATTAAGAAGCCAGAGTAATGAGGTCATCTATTCGGAATCCTTTGAAAAGAAGTGTATGTCTCTTTGTTAGCCGAGTTTCTAACCTTACACCGAAGAACCCAAGTTCTTCAATGAAGTTCAAGAACCGGACCCCAGAGGATTAACCCCTTCTGTTTTACGCGTGTTCATTGAAGTCTACATTAGGAAGACTAAGTCTAATTCTTCAATGATCGACGTGTGTCGGTTCCAGTAGACATTTGACGATAATTTGTACAGAAGGCCTCCAGAGTGATATTCCCCGCCTAGGGTTATGAAATAATAGTCTTTACTGGTCAAGGCTTAGTATCACCTTCTTCTTTATCCAACTGAACAGCACTTGGGAAAGGAATGGCAATGAGCTTTAAGGAATAGTTTGTGTATTTTTACTCCTAAACATCATGAGCTGCATGACCAAGGTTCATGTTTACCACACATTTAAACCTGCGATATTTCATTGATGCTACCTATCCTCCTCCCTCTACTAAGTTCATAGACAGGGACTTTAGGCAGCTGTCAAATTGGGACTACTGTATCATCATTTGAAGTAGTGTTAGGGATTGTAGTTGCAAACTTTAGTGACGTTCTCTGAAATCCTTACAGTCCTCACTCGCTCATGTGCTATGGGGTTGTATGCGTTAGTTCAGGTTTGGACAAAAGTACAGAAAACAATGCCATATGCTCTTTGCCAACTGAATGTGTAATCTAAAAGAAAAAGGAATATAAGGCCTTCTGTAGCTACTGATATTACTTCCTGACAGTTTACTTTCCTTAAATAACTATGTCTGTATACAGAACACTTGAATAGTATTCATTGTGTACTAATTTACGTTTGAACCAGTGATATGCATTGTAAAAGATATGGTAGCACTAGTTACTGTTAATCAAGAGGCTAGCAGTTCTATTAGTTTGTTTGGACCACCAGCGAGAGATAACATTCCGATGACAGTAGCCCCTTAAATACTCAGTAAATATCCAGTTCAATATTAACAAACGCATTTGGATTAGTATAGGACGCGGCACTATGAGAATTCACTTTGAAGTGGATGTTACGCCAATATACAGTTGTTATTATATCTCAGACGTTGGCTTAGATATTCGAATGACCTAAATGTTTAAGAACAAATAACGTCGGCCACCACGAGGGCGCTTAAACTCATGGATCGTATAGTGTGTAATGGCTGGGAGAGTGAGTTTAGACTTATTGTACAAAGTCTAAGCCAACTCAATGCTTGAATGTTGTCCGTCTGTATTCAATTACCTTCATATGAACGACAAGTTGAAAACCGAAGAAATACAGTGACTTTACACCAAAATGACTGTAGGAATAGATCGAAATCAGAGTTTCTCCACACGATGTGACACATTAGGGCTAGGACCCCTTTAGTAATGGAAGGTTGGGCTTCATCTTTACGGTTACTTCAAGTTCATACACCAATATCCACACTACTATAATCCAGTATTGGGTTTCAACAATTTGCCCAATGTTAAGCTAAAAAAATCACACTACTTTAATCACTGCACAACACTATAGATTTAAAGTACGACAAATGTCTTCCTACAAAACTCTTGGCCTCTACTTCGAAACAAACGCGTTATTAACTGACGAATTCACAGTATTCAACTGACTGCTGACGGTTGCGTGAATATCATTATTTTCACTGGACTTTGGATATATTTGTCTTGTCAAGACCTTCTACATGTTTGTTTATAATTCTGGCTCTGAATACCTCGCTTCCACTATGGTTTGTTGTTGAATTTTAACACTTTTGCCCTAGAAGCCTAAAAATTGATGGTTCGTTGCTAAATTTGTCACTTTATTGTTATGTCAATATATATTTGAGTTTATTACTCGTAATTTACTAGTAAACTCTTGGTACTTCAGATAAGATCTAATTTTCTTGTTACTTGGATCGGAAGTCACGAATATATCAATAGACCATGCTTTAGGAACGGACGAGAACATAACGAAGACAGTACAAATCTGCTTTTTTTAACGAACTTCACCTCAACGGTGAAGTTGTGCTATCTCCATCTGTTGACGGAGATATACCAGATCTATTGAAACTAACCTCTACCTACCCTGGTTCGATGAGTGATAATTCCTCCTCACTACCAGAGATCTGTATTAGATATATTAGCTTTATGACTGGCCCTTCTAACCAATCCCCAGATACACCATTCACCGACTTGACCTACCGCGCTCCAAAGGTTCTTGTGGATCTTCTAGGTGAGTCATACCTATCCTCTCCAACGACCACCAAATCTCTTTACTAAGAATCATCGGCTTGTAATGAATAATCATATCTGGGTTTCAACTAATTAAACACCAAACAAAATAACCTTTTACTAACTATGTTATCTGATAATTTTTGCAATTTCATTGATCTTTACAATATCTCTGTCTGCAAGAGGATGACCCATGTCAGGTCTCCATACTGCATTTTTATTACTAAAACGTGGTGCACGTCTGGCATTTCCGATTTCACACTGTGTAGGTAATTACAAAATTACAGTAAAAATAGGAATTGTGGTGTGAGAGTTGCACAACATACGTACGATCCGATATTCGGTCGACTAAAAATCTTCCCAGAGGGTTTTGAACTGTTAGGTTATTCTATATTCGTCACTGTAGATAAGTGTGTCTATCATTAGTCTATAATAGGTCACGTCTGTAGTTGCATATAATGCCATATATTCAACAATTAATATGGAGAGAAGGTTGACAATGAAGAACTCTGGACCGTTAATTCGGTCAATCGGATGGTATGGCTCAGCCTCGCAGGAGTGGTCATTATATATAACTTGTAATTACTCACATTAAATATATTATTCCATCTTGAACCTGAATGTGTTCTTTAGAAATGTTTAGCGTTCTTTAGAAACGCCAAAGCACTATATTGCTGACTGTTACAATACGACAAATCAAAATATCCAATGATGTGACTACCACGTAAGATCTAATAAATTGGGTTTTCACATCATGATATATCTATAATTTTTGTATTAGGTCTAATACTGTAGTAGTGTTAATACCGAAATAGACCATAATTCCACACATCTATGAGTCATCAAATACCTCTCATCCGACGGATACATAATTAAATCAAGTATTCAGATACTTATTGTCATTACGTATAACTACGTTGATTGATTTTGACTTCAATATCCCACATGTTAGCTAGACTTCATCACGCGACTCTTCACACTTCAAAACATTATTTGGAATATAAGGAACAGAGAGATAGACATATATAGTCAGTAAACCCACTAAAAACCTAACAAATTGGACTTACAAAACATTGCTTCATAAGCCGGATGCACCAGTCTTGAATTTCCAGATAGTGTTAAAAAACTATAGCCCGTCAACTTGTTATGCGGAAATACTAAAACACTTACTAGAACAAAGGTCTTTTGTACTTCGTGCAAACGCCGATGGTATTACTCCGGACTTCCGTTGCGTGGTCTTAGTTGGGGAATGACTTTTTATCCCGGTGATGTTAACACCACACTAGATTCTCTTCACTGCGATCTACAAACCTTTCTAGGTTTGGTCGATCCAATCAAAAAACCACACGTTCCCTATTGTGATTATATCACCGTCAAACTCGAATCTGAATTGAGAGTTATGACGAAGATTTTTTGTTCAGCAAGACATTTCAGCTATTCTCAGCACATGATCAGTCTTTATCAATATTAGATACTTTAATCGAACAAAGGGATTAGAAAAAGAACGAAGGTTTTCGATTTACAAAATAAGACTAGTTCTTTATCA